CATATATATCTATATATATTTATATTCGTATCCATACATATTAACAATAGTTTAATCTATGCAGGTATTTAGCTCCTTCAACTGCCTCGATAACGGATGTTCTAGATGTTTATGACTCTTCAATAACAGCTGATAAAAGTCATTTTATACCACGACCTGAATATTTCAATAACGATTCAAAAACGGCTATGTATACTGCCCGAGCTCCAATTGATCTATGTTATCATCTTATAAAACTGTATTGTTCTAGAAGTTATCCTATTGAAGTGTTGTTGAATCCAGAAAGTTACACGGGGAATATATTTGACTACAGAATGAGGTATATATTTCCACGCTTATTTTATGATTATACAAATCACATTCAATAATCTTATATTAATAAATCCAATTTCTTAGTTATATGTTGCATCAAACACTGATTGGCCTGGGATATACACATGTGCCAGATCACGTGACTACAATAGTTTATTCGAGTTTTGCAGCTCAATTAGAAACTTACGATCTTTGGAACTGGTCTATTCTCATAGTTTTAAATCATAAAAATTGTTATGAAAGAGAAAGAGCAGTAATGGATTTACTTTTCCGACATGTAGAGTTAGATAATACATCAGACTATGAAGAAAAAGAGAACTTTTTGATAAAAAGTTTGAAAATATCTCCAAAATGGATCAATGAAGCTAAAGCAGTCAAAGCATCAACTATAAAAAGGTTTGTTTCTATGTAAAACAACAGATTATTTTTTCTCTGAGCTCATAATTTTTTTATTTTTACATCTCCAATAGTGATTTTTACAACTTGATTGAATTTTATAGAAACTAAGAGAATAGAAATGTGTATTTGAAAACGATAAATTATGACTTTTAAGCCCTTCTTAGTATCAGTGCCATCTTTGTTATTACTTGTCCTTAACAAACGTTGGACGGTTCAGCTACTGTTTCACCAGGATAATCCTAAACTCTAAAATATTTTTAAAATTAAAAGAATTTTATGAGCCTGTGTGTTATTTTCGAAATATACTTTGATCATAACATTTGAGCAATTATTTCTAAAGCTTGAAAAATATTAACTATGTAAAGTTTTCCAAGATTCTACGTTATTTTCTTTGAAAAATAAAAAAAGAATTAATTTTATTTTGTACAGTGTCATGCACATTATAAAACTTACAGTGTTCAAGTAGAGGTGCATTGAAAAAAAATTTTGCACAGTAGTTTTTCTATCAGACGGCTTACTATAATAGTCCTTTTGTACACATATCATAACAGCTGCTATTCCGTGTAGTGGAGCTACTGCTCAAAATTTCCTTTAGTTTGTGATTTCTAGTTAATAATAAACATATCGCACAATAGAATAGTTTTAACAGCATTTATAATGACAGGTAAACAGAGACGTTCTTTAGGTAAAAGTTAAAGTATTAAAATTAAAAGAAGATTTGCTTTCTGGCTAAAGGCACGTACGTTGTCATGATACTAAAGTTCGAATCGTTCCGTGAACAAAATTATGAAAGTTAAATAAACACTTTTTTAGCAACTAAATATGTCAAAAAACAAGTAAAAACAATGTAAACGATCTCTAACATTGCAGAAAAGGCTTAAAAAATAATATTGCAGCTATTTTAAAACTCGAATGATCTGAAAAATAACAGCACAACCGTACGAGCTGCTACGCGTATAGGTAGACACATACCAAAATACTGCAAAGGCCCCACTGAAACTAATATACATTGTTTATTGTAATATATATGTTGTACTAAAAATCAAAAACTTCAATAAAATTAAAAGGACAAGACATTTCCCTCTGATTTTCCATCATACGCTTAAAACGCAAGGGACGAAAAAGCGGCTTCCCTTGATGATAATTTTTTATACATGACGTAGGCCCAACTACAACTGATAGATACTGTTTACTTTTACATAAATGATGTACTAAAAATCGAAAACTAAAATAAATTCAGAGGACAAGTAATTGTCCTTCTGCTTTCCAGCGTACACTTATCAAGCCAAGATCGGAAATGCTATTTTTATTCATTACAACTTTTTTTTTTGGCCAAAGGACCCACTGAATTTGATAGACGTTGTTTATTTTTACATAAACAATAAACTAGTCAACAAAAAGTAGAATGCAATTGCGAGGACGCGTAATTTTCCTCCAATTTCTATCATACGCTTAAAACGTATGTTCCGAAAACGTGACTTCTATTGATTTAAAGTTTTCATACAGGCCGAAGGCCCTGCTGAAATTTAATTAATAGTCATTGTTAATTTTCACATAAACAATATACTAAAAATTAAAACCATGAATGAAATAAGGGAGACGAGTGATTTTTCCTCAATATCTATCATACGCTTAAAACGTAAGTGCCGAAAATGCGACTTCTATTAATTATAACTTTTAATACAGACCGAGGGCCCCGCTAAAATAAATAGACACTGTTGATTTTTACGTAAAAAATTCACTTAAAATTATAAACAAGAATAAAATTAGGGTAATGTGTGATTTTCCCCTAATATCTATCATTCGCTTAAGAACCAAAAACGCGACTTCTATTGATTATAACTTGTCATACAGGCCGAAAGCCCCACTAATAATAATGAACATTGTTTTTTTATTCACATAAACAATGAACTAAAAATCAAAAACTGTAATAAAATTGGGAGGACAAGAATATTTTCTCCAGTTTTCCATCATATGCTTAACAAGCAAGGACGAAAAACGCGACTTGTATTGATAATAACTTTTTATACATGCCAAAGACCCTACTAAAAGCAGAGGGATTTATTTATTTTTACATAAACAATGCATTTAAAGTCGGAAACTGGAATAAAATTAGGAGAACAAAAATTTTTTCTCCAATTTTCCATCATAAGCTTACTGAGCCAGAACAAGAAATGTGATTTGTATTAATCATAACTTTTAATACAGGCCAAAGGTCCCACAAAAATTAACAGACATTTATTATTTTTACATTAACAATAAACTAATCAACAAATATAAGCATGCAACTGGAAGAAAGAGTAATTTTCCTCCAATTTCTATCAAACCCTTGTAACGTAAGTACCAAGAACGGGACTTCTATTCATTATGACTTGTTATACAGGCCTAAAGACCCGCCAAGTTTAATAGAATTTGTTTTTTTTTACATAAATATTACACTTAAAATTGTAAAACTGGATTAAATTTGGGGGACAAGTAATTTTCCTCCAATTTCCTGCATACGTTCAAAACGTAACAACCGAAAACGCGACTTATATTGATTATAACTTTGTATACAGGCCGAAGCCCCCGCTAAAATTAATAGACATTATTTATTTTAGCATAAATCATGTACGAGAAATCAAAAATCAGAATAAAATTAGCAGAACTAGTAATTTTCCTCCTATTTTCTAGCACACGCCTATTAAGCAAGGAATAAAATTGTGACTTCTATTGATTATTATTTTTAAATATGCCGAAGCCCCGTTGAAATTATTATACATTTTTTATTTTTACATAAACAATGTACTTAATATCTAAAACTAAATCATAATTGGGAGGATAAACATTTTTCCTCCAATTTTCCATCATACGCTTATCATGCAAGGATCAAAAACGCGACTTCTATTCAGTATAACGTTGTATACAGGTCTGAGGCCCCGCTGATATTGATGGGCATTGTTTATTTTTACATAAACAATGCTCTTGAAATCAAAAACTAAAATAAAATTGGGAAGACAAGTAATTTTCCTCCCATTTTCTAGCATACGCTCATCAAGCAAAGGTTGGAAACGTAATTTCTATTGATTATATTTTTTCAGTAGGCCGAAGACCACAAAGAAATTAATACGCAATGTTTTCTATTATACATACAATAGTTAAAAAATCGAAAACTAGAATAAAATTGTGAGGTGAAGAAATTGTCCTCCAATTCTCCATCATACGCTTATCAAGCAAGGATTAAAAACGCGTCTTGTATTAATCAAAATTTTTTATACAGACCGATGGCCCTGCTAAAAATAATAGAGTTGATTTATTTTCACATAAGCATTATGAACTTAAAATTGAAAATTGGAATAACTTTGTCAGGACAAGAAATATTTCTTCATTTTCCATCTTACGCTTGAAACGTAAGTACCTAAAATGAGGCTTCTATTGATTATAACTTGTTATACACGCTGAAGGCTCCATCTAAAATACTTAGACATTGTTTATTTTTTACAGAAACAATGTACTTAAAATCAAAAATTAGAATGAAATTGGGATGACAAGTTATTTTCCATATACGCTTATCAAGCAAGGACCGAAAACGCGAATCGTATTGATTATAACTTTTCATCCAGGGTGAAGGCCTTGCTGAAATTAGTAGACATTGTTTATTTTTATATCAATAATAAACTCAGAATCGAAAACTTAAATAAATTTGGGAGAAAAATAAATTTTGCTCGATTCCTCTATCATACGGTTAGCACGCAAGGACTGAAAACGCGACTTCTATTCAGTATAACATGTTATACAGTCCGAATGCCTGCTGAAATTGATACACATTGTTTATTTTTACATAAACAATGTACTTAACATCGAAAACTAGAATAAAAGTGTTAGGACAAGAAATTTTCCTACATATTTCCTTCATACGCTTATTAAGCAAAGATCGGAATCTCAATTTCTATTGATTATGACTTTTTTTATAGGCTGAAAGCCCTGGTAAAATTTAAAGACAACGTATATTATCATATATACAATGGACTTAGAATCAAGAACTAGAATAAAGTTGGGAGGACAAGCAATTTTCGTTCAATTTTCCAGCATACGCTTATCAAGCAAGGACCTAAAAAGCGATTTGTATTGATCATAACTTCTTCTACAGGCCGAAAGCCCCCCGAAATTAATAGATATTGTATATTTTCATATAAACAATGTACTTATAATCGAAAACTAGAATAAAATTCAGAGGATCATAAATTTTCCATCATACGTTTATGAAGCTAGGACCAAAATTTCGACTTCTAGTGATTATAAGTTTTTATATATGCTGAAGACCTTTCTGAAATTGATAGACATTCTTTATTATTATACAAGCAATGTACTAGGAATTTTTAAATTGTCACAAATTTCAGGGGCTGGGTGCATCTCGTCTTTTTGTTTTATTACGCTTATCTTGTCGAGATCGAAAACGTAATTTTTATGTTTTATCAGTCATTGTGCAGGCCGAAGGCCCCACTTATAGTAATAGACATTGTTTACAAACATCCAAATAATTTTAATAAAACTTGAAACTAGAATAGAATCAAGAGGATGGGAGATGTATTCTCATTTTTAAATATGTTCTGCTTGCGTTGACTTTCATTTCGCGCATCTGAGACATTTACTGTTTTACCCAGTTTAGTACTACAACATTGCCATTAATATTGATTCTCTCTGCATTCGTTCGGGCTTGAGACTGTCGTATCTATGATACGGCTACATCAAAAGCTACTATTTATCATCGTGCTTAAGCATTACAACATACTTGAAAAACGTAGCTTTGTAACTGGTTTGTTATATTGAGGCATTGTTAATCAATGTTTCACGAAATTTCTGTACTTGAATTAAAACTTTAACTTTTTATGCTATGTACACTTGACACTTATATCAGTCGTTATATTGTTACGCGCAATCTTTTCAGAAATTTTTTTTTTAATTTTGTCATTAATTGATATTTGAAGTGTTTCTAGTTCCAGTATTTCGTGCGTACT